ATTCACTCTCATACGTGGCAGCTGCAGCATGGATTGAATGAAGAGTTTGACTGCCCACTGGCAATCAAAAGCTGCCATCTCTGCTGTATTTCTATAGGTAAATAGTGCATTTATTTCCCCAACACTCTGTTTTGAATTGTGTATGGATGGGAATGTGCACGCAGCTTATTAAAAAATGCACGTGGGAGGAGTTGCAGTTGTCATGGGCTATCATCTGCTCTTTTACAATCTCCAGATTTAGAAACAAACACAACAGGGGGAGGGGAGGATAACTTTTAAAATTTACTGTTCTTAAAAACAATTTCATTTGGCTGAAAATGAAACCAGATATGACAATTCCTATGTATATGTATGTTTTCAGATAAGATAATCTATAGTTTTTTTTTCAAAAGGGTTAGATAATATCTCAATTTAAAAAAGATGTCCAATATTTTTGCACCATTTGATTTTCATTCATATTACTAAATTTCATTATTTGAATCCATTCTTCTTTGTGTTCTTGGTGGTTATATTTTATTCCATATTCTGCAAATAAAATATTACTCAACTGTTGCATGTGGCAAACAACTCTCTTTTGAACTGAATTCAGGAAGCATACTTTTTGTTTTAAGCTCCTCTCTTTTCGTCTTGGTCTAGGCAGTCTGGTGTATTGTAAATTTTCAGATTCTCTATGGCAAGGCTTTCTGGCGCCTGTTCCATTTTCATAATAAAATAATATTTTGCATAAATTAAGCGTAAGATATCCAATGACACTAGGAGCTGTGGGCTTTGCTCCAGAACTGTTATTTTCACAGTCTTACAGTGCTGGGTGACTAGCCGATACCTGGATACTTTTTCATTCCTCATATATTCACCACCAGAATTTTCCACGCTCTGCAGTGAATTATCCGTGCATTATTAATCAACCTCATATCCCAACACTTTTGCCTACTCATGATCTACTTTTATGAGTTCTGTAGTAACTTTTGTAATGATGCAAGTAGTGATCCTATTTCATGCTTTGGGGGGTTTTGGGCATTATAGGGTTAAAAGAAAAAAAATCCTCTTTATATAGCATTGTGTAATTAACATTGCAATGCATTCTTTCTGCCACCTTATTATTATTTTAATTAAAAAGTACTTAGGGAATGGCATCTCATTTTCCACTCTAGTAAACAAAATTCCCCTACAGTTATAAGCGGATATAAGAAACTTTGCCTCAAAGATCAGTGTCCCAGAAATATATGAAGATTGACAGGAAGGACACCAAGAGAACACCAGCTGTAGCAATCAAGGGACACACAAATGCTTTTATAAACGCCTGCGCGGATTCCTCCGATCCTGCCAGAGGCTCCAGGAAGGTGCCAGGCACGGAACAGGAGCAGCTAGCAGAGGGAGGGGAGCTCTGTTTTGCTTAGGAAATAGAAAGGAGAAAGCTCATGTGTGTGTATGTGCACATGTGCCTCTTGGCGAGAAATTCTAGCAGTCAAAGCTATTTTGGACAGAGGCAGTTTGGCTAAAAGAGGCTTTACATAAAGTACTGAAATCTCTAAGTATCACACAGTGCTATCGCATACAGTGTGTTACTTGAAATGCAGCATTTTGTAGATACACATTTTTAAAAGCCAGCATCCTCAAACCTGAAAAATAAGACTTTGAGAGAAAGAACAACGTGTTTTCTGGTGAGCACCTAATGCTGATTAAGGTGGGAACTCCCTTGCAGAGCTGAAGTTGGCAGCAGATCCTGACACTTCTTGTCTTCATATTGGACAAGGAAAGACTGTAAATCATCCTACTGCTTTCCCACAGAATAATTTGTTGCAATCTTGCATTGGCAAAGCTAATTAAGGAGAGAGGTTAACCTTTGCCTTTAGTAAAAACTCCTGGAAGCTTCCCATTTAAAATCAGAGCTTTGGCATTCCCTTGATGTTTGCTATTTTGAAATGTACCTATCTAATTCTAAAATATTCACAGGCAAAAAAAAACGGGCCAAGAGATTTTGCTTTTGTTCTTTTTTTAATCCAGTGAAGTGGAATGAAACTGGAGATGTCTGCAACCAGAAGGACTCTTCTATTTACCAGCCACAGGTCTCAAGACTGTAAGTCAGAGCTGCCTTCCTTAATGACGGCAGCTCATTACCAAAAAAAAAAAAAAAAAGATCTGACTTTTTGCCCTGCTCGTTTTTGAGGTGTCACTCGGCAGCTCTACAAGTCTCATTGCTTGTTTGTGGACTCTGAAATTCGCATGGCTCATTTTGCTCCATCAGGTGTTTTTTAAAGAACTAGAGCTGGCAGTGAGACAGTAGATGGTCTTGAGGGTTTGTGTTGGGCCTTTCTAAACAAGACAGGTCTGCCCAATGATGTGGCCCAATTTGCTTTCACAGTCGCTGCGAGGAGAGAAGATTCTCTGCACCACATACAAGCTGGTGCTTGCCAAGTCATTGCCTAATACAATGCAGGCCTTAGCAAACATACGGCACGAGAAAGTTTGTGTAATCCTGATTCCTACTAAAAGCCCGAGACGGAGTCCTCGGTTTATAAACTGCCTTGTCACTGGGAGTGACGGGGACTAGATGCGGAAAAGGAGTGATGTGGAAGAGGAAAGGAAGGCAAGAGAGGCAAACGTTGAGATCAAAGAGGGGAAGGAAACACACTGAAGATCCCAGTCTACCCTGCAAGCTACAGCAGAAGCCCTGTGCAATTTGCAGGCTCCTTACAGTTTTCTGTAACCGTAAATTGTAAAGAACCATTTTAAAAAGTTATCTTGAAGCCTGAGGATATGAGATACAATCCACGCTTCCTTCAAATTGGAGAAAAAAAGATATAAATTACTTATTATTGAAGTTTTTTAAAAACACTGTAAGATTTTACAAGGGAGATGGGAGAGAAGATCAAAGACAATTACCTCAAAGAAAATCAAATTTACTGTGAGAAGTAGTAGCAAAAGAGAAAGGGAAGCCCAAGAAAAAAACAATTAAGAGGAGTTAGACAGTATTATGAGCACAACTGGAAATGATCTCAATGTGTAGGAAGGGCATGATGGTAGGAGGAGACCAACTTGACTAATGAGATGTTCAGAGATCTCAGACTCAAGAAGCTGGTTTTGTAGTGTTGCTCTGAGAGCAATACAGTGATCTGGATTAAACCACAAACCAAAAACCTTTCTTTGTCCTTCCCCCCACCGAGTCTGTGTTTTGTCCTCAGACTGAGTTGTTTCACAGCTGATGGTAGAGCCCTACAAGCCACTGGATGAGCACTACTCACGCAGTGGTGAGCTGATGTTAGGAGCTGAGCATCACTTAGGCAAATCTTTTTGTCTCGGGGAACGATATGTTTAAATTGTATTCAATAAGTACATTTGGGGAACCTTTGCATTACTCTTCAGCACAAGCCCAAGATGGGAAAAGACAGGCAAGGCAACAGTGATTTGGAAAAGCCTCTGAGTTAGAACAGATCATAAAGACATGCATGAAATGTGCATCAACAGTGTGACACTTGCAAGAAAGGCAAATGTTTGGTGCACGTATAAAACCAGGGACAAACCCTGAGGCACATCACATGGCATCTGCAAACTCTTTAGCACTAGTAATGTGAATATGGGGCCTAGCAGTGGGCAACAGGTATCAAGAACAATGTAAACAAGCTGAATAAAGTCCAGAGAACAACTGAAGTGATGTATCTGTGAAGTGACCTGTGAGGAAGGAGTGATCAAATCACCTGTTGGTGATCTGAAGGTGATCACCTTTTAGTGATCAAATAAATTTAGATCACCAAAAGAATGGATGATCTAAAATCGTGAAAGACAGAGGAAATACATGGAAGTTGCATCATCACTTTATATACTCTTCAAGGATTCAATCTTTTATTTGCATCTACCAGGAACAGGAGAGGTAGCATGAAGCTGGAACTACAGGCTGTGGAGATCTTAGTTTGTGTTCCCAGCAGTGAGGATATCAAAGTGCTTGGGTAGATTGCCTGGGTGTGGTGTGAAGAAATTGTATCATGAGCCGTTTTTAAACAGATCAGACAAGCAGCTGCCAGGATCGGGTTTGATATGGCAGATCCTTCGTGGAGAAGGGGCTGGATGAGCAGGGCTCTCCAGGTCCCTTCCACAGCAACCCTGTCAGAGGATCTGGCAGTTGCAAATGTCCCTTAATATGGATTTCTTGGGGTCTTGTTCTCCACACACACATGAACACACGCACACTTCCAAAGGGAGCTTCAATTTGGAGATTCCTTTTCTGCTTTTCATGTTGAGCAAAAATAAAATACTCATTTGTGGAGGTGACCTTTAATTTTTCTTTTAGCTAGTTGAAGTTTTCTTTTCGATTAGCAGCAGTCCTTAGTTCAGCTCTACCCGCTGAAGCACACCCGTTAATAATTCACCTAATAATTCATCGTGGAGCCGCGTTCGCCACGTGCAGCTACATCTTTCGTGAGACCAGCGACAACGACCTCTCTCTGTGAAGACGGTATTTAAACAGGTAGCCTCCACACGCCCCTTCCGCGACCAACTCCTGCTCGGCGTTGCCCCCTCCAAGGTCCCTCCGAAACGCCCTACGCCGCCGCCGCGCCCGAGGGTGGCCGGCTGCTGGAATGGGAGGAAAGGTGACTTCACCCACTCGACGGGAGAGTCACGCGACGCCCAACGGCC